CCCAGCCGACTCTGTCACAGGAATGGATGGGGCGCACTTGGCCTAGGCTGTGCGGTTACTTGGTACTCATGTACTACTGCCTATGTGACCTGTAGAGTACCAATACTTTATCACCCTCTCTGCCTCACTTCCTTCCTGGACATTCCTGCTTCATTTCTTCTTCCATTCCCAGATGGAGCAACAGTAACACAGTTTTAGCAACCGTCAGCCTCACTTTATGTTCTCTTTTTAATCTATGTTTGTGGCCTACTTTTATAGACTGAGTTCTTCAGGCAAGCTTTTGGCATCATAAAAATTTTTGTCTTTCAAAAAAGTCGAATCTTGAAAAGTTGAGATTAGTTTGGCTTCCAAATTGTTGTCTCATATACAAAATTTTTACAAATCCATTCAGAAACTTAATTTATATCTTTACTTTTGGCTATTTGTTATGAGAATCAAGGCTGCCCCAGGGAGAGAAGCCCAAGGCATCCTGGCCTACGTGCCAATCTGTGTCATCCTCCGGGAAGTATAGGACTTCTGACCTGATTCGCATCTAAAGTTACATGACCACACGATAACCAGACCCCACCTGTGCCTGATACCATTTTAACGACTTTTTTACATGGTCTTTCCTTTGTCTTGTAAAACGAATAACTCACATACCTATGCCTTATAAATTTAGCCCTACTCTCAACACATTGCAGCTCTTCGCTGCCCATGGGTCCTGTCCTCATGCTATTCTCTAAATAGGAGAGCACTGCTACCATCCCTTGAGAGTCCAAGAAATCTTTCTTTTGACTCCTCGGCTCACTGAGCTGGCATCAATTTGCAGCCTCTATACAAGAAAGGAATACCTCTGACCTGTGAGTATAGGGCCTTGGGGTAAAAAAACCTGAAAAACAAAAGAGCACCCAAACACAGTAGTGCAAAATATTTGTAGTTAGCGGACAATATTATTCTGTCGTACTTCTTTCAGTTCATTCATTTGAGAATGTGAGATGAGCAAGATAAAGTCATTCCCTGTCAGAGCTTATGGCCTAGTGAAGAAGAGAATTTTTTCCCCCAGACTTACATGTTATGGTGGAAATTTCAGTGTTACCTGCAACCCCACCCCATATTTTCCTACAGCCACCCCAGACAAGAGCAGAAGATGGGAGAGGGTAAGAAACAGAGTGAGAAAAGAGAGTTCAAATTATTTTACTTGTAATATCATTACACTTGTAATATCATTACATTTACTTGTAATATCACTTTTTTTTTGCTTGTAACAGAAAAGGAGCTCTACATGCATGCAAATACATATTTCACATCCCTTTTTAATATGTTTAATTTTATAAAAGTTGCCTAGGATTATTGCATTATACAATCTGTCTATATAGGTGTGCATATTTTAGTCATTTATAATATGTTACATTTATATTCTGTTTACATTAGACATTGATTTTTTTTTCATAGAAAATATGAACTTTGGGTAGTCTGATAGGAATTTTTAAACGTAAATTTTGCCAAAGGATATCCTATGTCAATTGGTGTGATTATTCATTGGATATGTGAAAAACACACAGCATTGTCCAATAGTGTTACTTTCCATTTTTACTTATTTGTTGGTACATTTTTTCCAGCAAAGAGCAGAAATGTATGGAAGAAATACAATTTCTGAGGTAATTAATTTGAGGGCGGTTTATGAGCAGTGTTACTCCCCCAAGGGGAGTCCTCCGCCCACTGCAAGACATGCCACTAGTCAGGAGGCAAGGTGCTAGCAGAGAAAGGATTTTATTACAGCTTGCTAGCAAGAGGGAAGACTGCTGACTCCTGTTCAAAAGAACCATCTGACAGAACAAAGACTGCAGCCCAGTTATATATGGGGCTGGTCTCCAGGTTGGGGAGGTGGCTAGTCTCTGGGTGGGGCCTCCATCTGATCTCCAGGTCGGGTTGACATCTGGTGCCAGCTCCTGACAGTCCTTTGTTTTACTGGATATGCATCAGAGACTGGAGCACTGCCTTATACCTTGATCTTTCAGTTGTCATTGATGGCTGTCAGCATAGGCTCTCTGCCTAGGGGTCATCACATTCCTAAGGAACTCAAAAGAACAAAGTTATCTCTTAAAGCGGCTGGGAGGGGTCACAAAATCTACAGAGCATGTCTAGGCTAGTTAATCAGAGGATATTCAAAGTACGACAATATGGTTTCTTTTCTACAGTATGGCTTCCCTTATGTCAGCCTTGTGTTGAGCCAGTATCAGTCACACTATCTTTTACATTTTTTCTTTATGAAATGGTGGGTATTTTTACTGTAATAATGTCTCCAAACTTTGATACAATTCTTATCTTTCTATTTGTATGGAAAAATCAAAATGAATCGCAGACCAATGTTTATTGAGGAAACTAAGGTTAAGAGTGATTAATTACTAAAAGGTATACAACTAATAAGTAAAAGAGCTGGGACACAACTCTAAGTTTGTCAGATTAAAATCAATGTTGTTATCCATGTATCAGTCAAGTTACTATGCCAACAGCTTTTGTTGCTAGTGCCTGTTGAGTTGCTTTCCACTCCTAGTGGCCCTGTGTACCATAGAGCAGAACCCTGCCTGGTCTTTTTGCACCATCCTCTCACCTTCTGATACTCTATCAGACAATGCTCCACTACTATTCGTAGGGTTTTCACGGCCAGCTTTTTCAGAAGTGGGTGGCCAGGTCCTTCTTCCTAATCTGTCTTAGTCTGGAAGCTCTGCTGAAACCTGTCCACCATGGGTGACCCTGCTGGTGTTTGAAATACCGGCGGCATGGCTTTCAGCATGACAGCAACTTGCAGCCCCCACAATATGACAACCAACAGATGGGTGGTGTGTTTCCCTGACTGAGACAGGTACCCTGGCCTCAGTGGTGAGAGTGCTCAATCTTCACCACTAGACCACCAGGGCTGGATATCTTTAGATAATTCAATAAATGTAGACCTTTAATCTAGATAATTCATGTCTCACAAATCACAATTTCTTACATGTCAGGTTGTTTTCTTCCAGAGAAAATTACTTGGAAAATTAGCTTATTTCAATTTTTCAATGGTTGCATTTATTCATTTATGCAACTAATATTTATGACCTCTAGGGGGGAATATTGCAAATTAAACGGACACAATCCCCAACCTCATGAAGATATTTCCATATCAAAACTTTGTTGGCCTCTCTAAAGTAGTCACTATGAGAAGTTTTTCTCTTGTGCTAGAGATGTGTCTGTCATTCAAAACATTTGGGGAAGCCTTCTCTTTCGGAATTTCCTTCACTGTCTTCCTCTTAGTCTTCACCAAATCCTAAACAAGTGTTTTCTCTTAGGGTATATATTTTAATTTTGGAAACAACTAAACACTATCTAAACCTAAAAGCAACAAGTAAATTACATGGTCAAGTTAAAGAATTTCTTTTCACTGGGTTACTCAGCACCCTGTCTCTTGTTCATCGTATCATAAGTTAAAGTATGATTGGCTGTTTCTCTGACTTTCAGTGTAAATCTTCAGCAGTTCTATCAAAGAACTTCATTTTTTCTAGCCATGAATGGCAGAATTCTTGGGATATCATTTCTAAGCCTCCTGGTCTGTGTTGAAGAAAAGCACTCAGATGTTTAGTCACTTTGTAAAAGAGACCATCTCGTTGTTTTGTAGTCCTGCATGGTAGACTTACTGATCTGTGTCTGAATATAGAAAAGGGTAGGAGATCTAACACAAAAGGAAAAAGAAGGGAAAAATGACAAAGTGATGGCACTGTTTTTCTTGAGTTGTTTGAGAGAGTGTTCACACAAACATGAATTTTTACCACTTCCCACCTCTGTTTATGCTGTTTCTTATGTTTGGTGTGGCCTTACTCCATTTCTGCCCAACTCTAATGTCACTTTCATCCAACTTTTCCGATCTCTCCTACTGTAATGATGTTGGGTCATTTAAATTGTACAATGTAGTATAGTTGAGATGTGCCTTTCTCTCTATTTGATATAAGCTCCTTAAAAGCAGATATTGTATGTTTCATTAATGTTTGTATCTCTTAAGGTCCCATCATAATTAATATCAAATGAGTGAATGGATGAAAATATGAACAGAAGAGATTCTGTGTAAGACAAATTTACAGGGAGGGTATACAATCGTGTATGTAATTCTATAGGTAATAAAATAAGGGATATACTTTAGTCAGAGTGGAAAAAGGGAAAGAGAAAGGAAAGAAGGAAAGAAAGAAGAAAAAGAGTCACAAAGTTTTAATTCCTAATGAACAGAGTATACAGTATGCATTGGAGCATATCTGAGATTGTTACTGAACTGAAATGGGTTTGCTTCCTGGATAGTTAAAATCAGACTCTCCACCAGAAATAGTTGTCACACAAAGTAGAGTTTATTTGCAGCAAATAGGAGACCATGTGGAATCATTTCCAAAGTTGTGGCTCCTTGAACAAAGGGAAGTAGGTCCTTTTATTTTGGGTGAGGAATGAATATTTGAAAGGAGAGTTTTACTATAACAGGTAGAGGTGAATATTAGCAGGCGCAGGCACAGTCTGAAAACATGCTTTCACATACATCATGTGTCATGCTAATAAGACCTAGGCTCCTCTTAGGGCTGAGATTTTAGGATAAAGATGAAATGAAGGGCATCTTTTGGCCATCTCTGGGCCACCTGCACAAGTGCTGGCCTTGCAGTGGGACCTCATCTGGTTCAGGCCAGTTGAGACTGGTATCTCTTCCCAGCATAGCTCTGAAAAACAACCCTGAGAGAGTGTTAATCACCTTTAAACTTTCTTCGAGCTGCTTAAGGCATACACACGTGACAAGATCCAAGTAGATTTTTGCAAGAAAGAAGTTAGCGTGTGTACTTTACAGTTCTCACACTTCTGAAAGTATTAATCTCGGGAAAGCCAAGGACAATTGTATGTTTTATATCCTGCAGAAAGAGTTTCCATCATAAAAATTAATAAGAAAGGGTCTTCAGTATTTATAATATTTTTCCCCATTAAATTTTATCATTTTTCAACTTAAAACTTTACAGGTACCTACAGAATATTGGACATACAGATTCAAGATCCATAAGACTTTATTGCCTTGAATCAAGGATTTATTTGATATCCTCTTCCATCTTTTCTTCGTGTCAACTAACATTTTAAGGAAGACAATATATTTGCCACAAGGGAATTTTTAAAAATAATACTACCCACACTTTCCAATGCCTAAGAATAGCAAAGTGGTAAAAAGAGAATTAGATGATGAGGTTATTGAGTCTGTCAAAGACCTTCTTTCCAATGAAGACTCAGCTGACGATGCTTTTAAGAAGAGTGAACTAATTGTTGATGTCCAAGAAGAGAAAGATACAGATGTTGAAGAAGGATCTGAAGTTGAAGATGAAAGACCAGCTTGGAACAATAAGCTTCAGTACATCCTGGCTCAAGTTGGATTTTCTGTAGGTTTAGGGAATGTGTGGCGATTCCCATACCTATGTCAGAAGAATGGGGGTGGTAAGTTTTTGTTTTTGTGTTTTTTTTTAAATAATATGTTGCTGAGTAAATGGCAAGTGGTTATCTCAAATGGCCCCTGTAGTTGCTGCAGTCTTGTTATTTTAGAAACTATGAATTCCATTGTAAGGCTGGGCAGACTTCTTTGTTGGAAGTGAGCTCAGCTCTGTTTTCAGATTAGGTTTCCATAGGAGCAGATGGCTTGCTGTGAATACTCAAGGGTTGCTGAAGGGTAACAAACTCTCAGGTTTTTTGTGTGGATGCTGTTAAACATCTCTAAAGTACTGACTTTTCTAGCAAACATTGCATCCCCTGTGCCTATTAGTTATTCTCTTTGGAGAAAAACCTAGTTTCTGATATAAGACAATATTGGTGAAGGAAGACAGACTTTCTCTCCACAACTTATTAACTCTGAATTTTAAGTTGTTTCTCTCTTCAAAAAAGCAGAAATTACATATAATTTAGAATGATTATAGTCTTCAAGTGCTGACCAGAAGTTTGTAGATCCCACTCAAAGGGACTTCACCAGATAATTAGTATAATACCAGACATTCTTCATCCTTAGCTATCATAGGTATTTGGTTCCTAATTCTATAGGATTTGGGGACAATGTTTCATTTCAAAGAAAACTTTCAAGAAATTAGCATTCGTAATTTTAAACAAAAATATTTGCATCAACACGATATTCTAGATTTTTGTATTTATGTATAATTACCAAGAGTTCCATAGCAAAAATTGCAAGAAAAAAATTAACTAACATTTGAGTTGAAGCTTTATTATCGCTATACATGGAAGGTGTTAAAATAAGTGTGGTTAAAAACTACATATTCTTTGAGCTGCATTTCAGCACACAAAGGATAGAAACATTATTTTGGTATTTGATTACGGTCTGTGATAGTTTTGTTGACTGGACAAAAATATGGTTTTATTTTTGATATAGTTGTAACCTACAAATTAAATGAAATAATATAACCATTCACATGTGAAATTTCTTCTTATCCACTAAGAGATAAAAAGCTAAGGTGTTATGGTGACAAAATATGTTTAAGATCTTGCTTAGTTAATTCAACCAGGCACAAAATGACAGGTTTGGAAGAAGTAGCTTGTTTGACAAATCTGCCTGAGAAGTAAGGATCAGTATGTGAAGTCGGTGATGCACTATACATTACTCCACTGAAATTGTAAGCTCCTTAGCTAGCCGTTAACATCACATCACATATGAATTATTTATCAAATCAGCTATAAGCGGCAATGTACTATCTGCTTTTTGTTTTTCACATATCATTCCATTTGCCAAGACTGGCAGAAGATGAATTCTGATTTTCAGGCCTTTTCCCTATGAGCCTTACTGGCCATACTTTTAAGGAAGAAGACCGTCTTGGCTGAAAATCAGGTTGCCTTCCATTTAATATAATTTTTGGCTTGATGGAGGGCTTTAAAGGATTTCATCTTTAGTAATTAGTTATTAACAAAAATTGCTCCTCCTTCATTTCATTTGTAAAAAGAGTCAAAAGGCTCTTCCTAGTATTGTTTCCTCCCTTCTAATACTAGAGATTGACATTATAAAATGTCAGTGGACTTTATCGTTTCAAGATGGCTGTGAGAGTCAAAAAGGTTGTACTCAGCATGCAATATAGCACTGAGCCTTCTAGGTGTTTGAGTACTGTCTTCTGGCTGTTTAGTGAAATAGTCTCAGGCTACCTAAATCGTATTCATTCATCATTTGAAGCACTTTATGAATAATAGAACTAAAAAGTAATAGACCTAGCGTAAGTTGAGTTGTCTGAAGATATTATATTTAAAGCACAATGGTTAAACTTAATACGTGATATAATATAGAAGCTACCAGCTCAAATTTTGAAGCCATTGCGACTATGAAGCCTGGCACTAGCCATGTGACCTTTCACAAGTTTACTTCTTGGGCTTAGTTCCCACACCTGTAAAATGAAGATAATAATGGTACTTACTGCATTGGATTCTCGTAAGGAGTATATGAGTAACTACTTGTAACGTGCTTAGAAATGTGCCTGGCAAATAGTAAATGCTCAGTTATATGATAGCTACGTCTATTTTTAATATGGGGGGCTAATGTTAGAGTAGTTAAGTTAGAAGGAAAGGCTAAGTATCGAATAGTATGTTATGTGCACATAATTAAGGAAAGATTCCCAATGAGTCCAGTCTTAATTCATTCTCTCTTTTTTTCTAGTCGTTCACACATACGTACCCATTCACACTCTAGCATTTGATGCAGGTGTTACAATGAACTTTTGGTCCTTTGGAAAACATTTTTAGATCATTAGTGCCTGAAGTTTGCTAATGATTTTGGAATTAGAATTTTGATAATTCTGTTTTATAAGCTCATGCATCCATACTTACATTACATATCCCTTTCTAGAATCAACTCAAGTCAGAAAGACTGCAAATCAGCCATGAGAAAGTAGAGATTTCTTACTCTCGTTTATTTTTATGGAAAATGAAGCTCTTTTACTCTTTCAATAAAATGAAGCAAATTATTCACTGGTATCCTTACTTTTATCGTCATTTTTTTTTATCAGAAACTCTTTGTAGCAGTCAAATTCAGGTTTCAAATACTAGGCAGTTTAAAGTACTGAAATTGCATTTTCTTTAAAGTTTATATATACATATATAATTTATATATAATATGTTATTAGGTCTTATAATTATACTATATAAAAGTTCAAATATCATCTTTCATGAGATAATCAGAATTAGTGTCTTCTCTACTGTGACTGTTGAAAATATAATCTATTTTGTTTGCTCTTGTCTCTGTAGGTGCATATCTTTTGCCATATTTAATACTGCTTCTGGTAATAGGTATTCCCCTTTTTTTTCTGGAACTTTCTGTGGGCCAAAGAATTCGGCGAGGAAGCATTGGTGTATGGAATTACATAAGCCCTAAACTGGGCGGGATTGGATTTGCAAGTTGTGTAGTAAGTTTCTTGGTATGGTATATGCCATATAATTTTTACAGGGTTTGTAGTTATATAGTTTGTATTTACATGAAACTTTTGAGTGTGTATTTCCACTCTTTTAATCATATGTTAAAAAAAAACACTACTGGAGCTTGCACTAAAACACAAAACAAGCTGTAAATAATATAGTTCAATCTTGCTAATGCATGTAAGGCCGATGAGCCATCTTTTTAGAAAAGATAACATGTTTCAAATAAAATAAAATGAGGAGGATATTCAAATGTTAAATGGAGTTTTATGCATTTCATCGCATTGTTTCAAAAGAAGGGGTGTGAGCGGTTCGCTGTAATCGCATGCTTTTATTTTGCAGGTGTGCTTTTTCGTGGCTCTCTACTACAACGTCATCATCGGCTGGAGTTTGTTTTATTTTTCTCAGTCCTTTCAGCAACCTCTACCTTGGGATCAGTGTCCTTTGGTGAAAAATGCTTCACACACTTGTAAGACATGTACAGCGTAATGTTTTTGTGTTTAAAGATCATAAAGTTGGTAAAGGCATGAGCTTTCAAGACTTTTTCTTTTTAAAATAATGTGGGAAAATCTTTCAAAATTATTTCCTCACATTTAGGATTGGCATACTCAGAAAGATAGACCTTTGGCACCATCTAATTTTACTGGCTCTCCCCAAGGTATTTTATGGTGCCCCATGACATTAGGGTAAAATATTATAGGCCTTCAGTTGTTAATTGGACAATCTTTTATTTTCTACACCTTTCTTGATGCCTTACATTTTCACTAAAATAAAATGAGGACAAAAAGAAGAATTTGGATTGAAATAATTGTTTTTATGTCTTCAATTCTGTTGTTTCACATTCCATCATTTATTTTTATATCCTAGAATATAAATGAAGAACAATTCCCTATCATAGTGTTGTCCAGTAAACACAGAATGCAACTCACATATGTAGTCTGAAACTTTCTGATAGCCACATTTTTTTTTTTAAAGATTGGCACTTGAGCTAACAACTATTGCCAATCTTTTTTGTTTTTTTTCTGCTTTTTCTCGCCAAATCCCCCCAGAACACAGTTGTATATATTTTAGTTGTGGGTTCTTCTAGTTGTGGCATGTGGGATGCTGCCTCAGCGTGGTCTAACTGGTGTCGTGTCCGCGCCCAGGATCCGAACAGTGAAACCCTGGGCCGCTGAAGCAGAGTGTGCAAACTTAACCACTCGGCCATGGGGACAATCCCTCTGGTAGCCACATTTTAAAAAAGTAAAAAGAAACAGATGAAGTATTTTCTTTAATCCAATATATCCAAAATATTAACATTTCAACATATAATTAATATTACAAATATTAATGTAATAATCTGCTTTATTTTTCTTGTATTAAGTCTCCAAAATCCCCCTTGTATTTTATATTTACAGCCCGTGTCACTTTAGACTAGCTCCATATGGCTAGCAGGTAGCCTATTTGACAGCTCTGCCCCAGGAAGTTGATCAGATAATTTTGGGGGTAGAAGGGGCTATAAAACTGATATGTCTTAATTACTTTAATAAAAAGCTAACATATTCCTATTTTAGAAATGTGTAAAAGGAAATATCAAAGAGGATATGTGTCTATGGATTTTCCACATTTTTGCACAGTTGAGTTTTTATTGTGAATTTAAATGCTTCTGTAGAATAAGTAGTACTTTCCTAGGAAATGTTAAGTGTTGATTTACAGGTTTACTGGAAGAAAAATTGTCTTGTTGGTGTCTTAATATCTCATTGTCTCTTTGTGTCTGAAATGATCGTGTTACCCTTCTTTCTACAGTTGTAGAGCCAGAATGTGAAAAAAGTTCTGCCACCACATATTACTGGTACAGAGAAGCACTGAATATTTCCAATTCCATTTCTGAAAGTGGGGGCTTAAACTGGAAGATGACCATCTGCTTGCTGGCTGCCTGGGTCGTGGTTTGCTTGGCTATGATCAAAGGCATTCAGTCTTCTGGAAAAGTTAGTATGTTAGAGCTCTGATTCTGCTAATCCCCATGATTCCTGGGTTCTACGCCCGCCTCAAGCTCTGTTACGAAGCTCTGTGGGCAAACTGCAAGTAGTACTTCATTTTAGGTAGTTAATTAAAGATTGGTTAAAAGTGGTGCTTTTTCAAATGTGTTTAAATTAAAGAAAGGGCATAAATAAAGATGTAAGTGTTTTATAGTGAAATCTAAGTCCTTTAGAATCTTTCCTTATTTCATCAAGATCTTCTGTGAAATGTTTTGTCAGGACCCGAAAGTCCTTTCTTTTTGCTTGTATTCAGTTGACCTTAATGTTTTAGTTTTCTCATTACCTGCTAATTCCAATCACGGAAATTGGGGAAAGTGGCAGGATGAAGAATTCGTTCATTTTTTTGGTGTTGTATCATTTATTTTTCTCTACTATGGGTTTTCTAAGGAATAGTTGCATAAAAGCTTTTAAAATAGTCTAGTGTGGAGGGCTTCTTAAAATATCTGAACATCATTAGGTAGTTATGATAATCTCAACAAGGAGCTCAGAGTAATGTAGAAGATTAAAGGGCATGCCTGCCAGGGCACATGGAACATTTTAAAAGGCTGTGGTTGAAAAAGACATTAAGTGAATTCTAGATACCTCGAGTTCTTTTTTTTAAAGATGCATTATGAAAGTAATTGCTGTTCACCATTTTGCTTTTATATTACATTTTCTTTTCATTATTACTATCATTGCTTTAAAGCTCTCTACATCTTTTGGCTGGACCATAGCAAGAATTTATTGTGGGTGCTGCTTCTCTCTACCCCTCAGCAGTCCATCTCTACCATTTTTTCTTTCCAAAGCATAGATCTGATCATGTATCTTTCCAGGCTAATATTTTACCAGTCAGCATCATGTGCTAGTAGGAGTGGGACCAGTAGTAGTAGTAGTAGTAGTAGTAGGTAGTAGTAGTAGGTAGTAGTGGTAGTAAATGATATGGTGAAGATGATTCTCACAATGATCAGAGCAAGAACACTAACAGAGATCAATATTTCTTCTATGTTTATTTTGCTCTAGGCCCTGTGGTAATTGCTTTATATGCTTTATCCCTTTTAATTCTAAAGAAATTCTAAGAAGTAATTGCTACTCTCGGGCCTATTTTAAAGGTAAAAAAACAAATTTGAGAAATGACGTAACTTGCCCGAAGTGTCATAGCTAGTAAGTGCTGGTACCTGGCGTCAAACCTGACAGGTCCGTCTAAATCTAGAGCCCGTGTTATTTAATTGTAGCACTGTAATGTCTCTCACTGTTGTATTTTTTTCCCATCAGATAGTGGACTCTTAGGGCAGAAGTCTGTCTAATTCATCTTTGCTTCCTGTTACTTCATTGAATTCAAAATGTTTAATGATATTTTTAATTTGTAAGCCATAGCTGATTTTATATTAACCTTCCTGCTGGAACTCCTATACCATTTTTCCTTTGAAGAAATGAACGTGGTGGATAACACATCTGAATCTTTCAGTCTTTTCTGAATGTTAATGTACTGTGTGATTAAATTCAATTAATTTGTTCAATTGGACGTGTCTTCTGCTATATCAGAGAGACATTGCAGTCAGGTTATAAATAAAGGAATAGATTCTTAAGCCAAATCTAACCATATTTACAAGCATGCTAAGAAAATGTCATTTGGTAGAAAGGGTACCAACTGTGGTCAGCCAGAGAAGTCCAGAACTCCCCGTGCTCCATTGTTACTGCCACATTTTGTTTCTTCTTAGTCTGAGTATGTGTCTTATCATTTAAAGAAATATTCATCCTTTTCTTATCACAGGATTTGGGATATTTTTCTAATGTCATGTAATATAACTTTATCTTACAAAATGTAATACAATGTGTTAGTACGTACAGTTTATTATTTCTATAAGAAGGCTTCAGGGAGAATGGCTTTTGGTCAGAATTTGAAGTAAGAATTCAGTAGGTGTGGATGGGGAGAAAGCTGTAAGTAATGTGAGCAAAGGGATGGAAATCTAAATTGTCACAGTCTCTTTGTCTGAAACAATGATCTAAATATAAGAAGAAGAAATTTGTTAGGATTGAATGGAAAGCTCTATGTTTGTCTTCCAAAGCAGCCTCCAAATGAACAATCACACAAGTAGAGAATAGAGAACCATGGTTTAAGGGTAGTATATGAAAAAAATGACTTAGATTAGAGGATTTAGTAGCTAAAAGAAGAGTATGAGTCAGCTTGTGATATGTGTGGCCAAACATACAAACATACACACAGACACACACACCACACAAAATGCTAATTAGAAACTGCATGAATTAAAAGAGGAGTCTGACAGTGTCATTCTCCTTGGGCCAGGTAGACACACCTCACTGGACTGTGCCTGCAGTACTGGATTTCTCTGAAATCTTTACTTCCTCCTTTATTATGGAGAAGAGAAATCTCAGCCCTATGATCACAATCTTCAAATAGTTGAATCAAAAGAAGAATCAGGCTTGGGGGCTGGCCCCATGGGCGAGTGGTTGAGTTCGCGCGCTCAGCTCCAGGCGGCCCAGTGTTTCGTTGGTTCGAATCCTGGGTGCGGACGTGGTGCTGCTCATCGGGCCATGCTGAGGCGGCATCCCACGTGCCACAACTAGAGGGACCCACAACGAAGAATATACAACTACGTACCGGGGGGCTTTGGGGAGAAAAAGGAAAAAAATAAAATCTTAAAAAAAAAAAAAGAAGAAGAATCAGGCTCATTCTGTGTGGCCACAGAGAGCAGAACTATGATCCAATATTGGGGATTATGGAGATTGGCAGAGTGGTGGTACATCTTCAAAGAAAGGAAGACCTTTCAGCCATGAGGCCTGGTACCTTAGTTGTCCCAGTGCAGCATCACTGGAGGTGTCAGAGGTTGCATGTCCCTTTGTTACAGCCTCTATTAAGGGGATGCCTGCCCCAAAAAAGCAGGATAGAAAGGAGAAGCTCTAAGCTTTCTTCTGACCCTAAGGTAATATTTTCTACTAGTACTGCTTTGCCATAGTTACTACTACTGTTCTAAGTTCTTTTCTTTGCCTACATTAGCTTGTTTAATCTTTGTGTCAGCCAGATGATTTGTGTTTTTATCCCCATTTTACTACAAGGTTAAGAAGCTTAGATACAATAAAGAATTGGCCAGAATTAAACAACTGATAAGTGGCAGAGCTAGAACTAGGCTCTGAAGTCCTCAAAGAGAAGGTGTGTTTATAGTAAACATTTTAATATGTAAAAAGAAATAACTCAATGATTTCATGTTTTCTGTTCTTCAGTACTTGAGTAGAATAAAAATATTTTTATACAACATTTTGATTGATAAACTAATCTCTTACTGCATGTACTTGCTGTGAAGGCATTTCAGCTGTCGAGACCCAGGAGTCTTAAAATCAGACAAAGAAACATATTTCATTGTGTTGTTTCCCAGTTCTTAAAAATGTGTACTTCTTGGACAATGTAAGGATCATTCATCTGTTCATTTAACACATATTTCGTCTGGAGATACAGCAATGAACCAGGCAGACAAAATGCCTGTCCTCATGGAATGTCATTCTAGTGGCAGAGGCAGACAATAAAATTGGCAAAATAATTTTAGGTAGTGATGCATAACATAAAGTACGGTAAGGAGAATGTGTAACAATTTGCATGTAGTTAGGTAGAATTTAGCCTATTTTTAATAATATTGTGCAGCTGACTGTGTTGGTATAATAAGATCAGACTCATTTGATTAAATGTAAAGAATTTGTGTTTAAAAACACAATACGGGTGTGTCTGTAAAAGTGCTGACTTAAGATACATCTTTAAATTTCATAATTTAATAATTAAATATTTTGCCCTTTTGCCTGCTCGCAGAACAAGAAAATTCAGACATGACCTACTTAACCCTACTGGAATGTTTAAAATCTTGACTGTTATTTTTCTCTTTGTTATAATGAACGTGAAATTTTCCTGTTCTCTTTTAGGAAGCTATGCTAGAGTCTTGTATCACTGAATCCAGATCAATATCTTTCAGAACTCAAAACGTGTTAAATTAATAAATGAAAATTGAAATGAGTCCAGTCGTATATTAGTATATGATTTAAAAAGTACTGCAGAATAAAGATAAGTTGATTTTTTTTTAGGGAATGTATTCAGAAAGGACAATTTAACTTCCTATAAATTCTCTCTTAATGTACAATATTTTTGAGTATCTACTATATGTCAGGTGCTGATGGATATGCAAAGATGAACAAGCCACAGTTTTGTCCTCATGGAACCCATAATTTAATCGGTGGACAGATAATTAGCAGAATAAGTGCGGTAGTAGAGGCACATAAAGTGCATGATAGCAGAGGCAGCCACTGAAATTCACATGGGTTTGGGGGAAAGCTTCACAGAGGAGGTAACTTTTGGGCTAGAGTTTGATGTTTGAAGCAGTTCACCAGAAAGTTCAGAGAGAGAACACTGGATGTGCAAAGCCCAACGACTGCTGAGTACCCCTGTGTGACTTTTACATACAATCTGTGCAGCTCTTCGGAGATGAAACTTGAAATGTGAGTGAATAGCAGATCCTGAAGGATCTGTGGACACTGGTCACAGCGGCTGTTACCTGATAAATGGTGTGGGATATCGGAGGGTGTTTGGCAGTTCACTGATACCATCAGCTCTTTGGTTTGGAAAGTAATGTGGATGGTGGATTTCAGGGATGAAGGGGAGAGCTGGCAGGGAGAATCTGGAGGCCAGGTGAGCAGGGACCTGTCATAAAAGTGGAAGGTCACACGTCATTGAGGATGGAAACGAAGGGACAGACGTCAGATTTCTGTGATGGAATCACTTGGTCTTGTTGACCAGTTGGTTATGGCACGTGGGAAAGAGGGACTTATTAAGGGTGTGTTTGGAGTTGTTGAGCCTGGATAAATACAAGTACCGAAAGAATCAGTTCTTCCCTTAGTCTCTAATTTGCAACTATATTTAAAACATACTGAGTAAATTTATTGGAAAAATTCTATCGACCTTTCCAGACTAGTTCAGTGTGTAGCCTTCATTTTCAGTTTTAAATAAATGGGATTAATGGAAGTCATTTAAGTCACGTATAAGGCAGCAAATTTGAGTTCTGTTTAAAAAAACAAAAAGATAAGGTGCTGTGCAGAAGCGAATCCATGCCTCTGGCTAGCCTCAAGATTTGTGAAGAAGAATCGTAAAAGGGATAGCTTTAATTCAGGTGAGATCAGGCTACTTAACTAGATACATAGTAAGCTAACAAATTTAAAGAATGCTAAAAGTAGGCAAGAAGAATGAACAAAAAAGTACTGTGAAGGCATTCTGATAAAAAGAAATGTGGGTGAATGGAAGTAATCAAGGAATTAAACCAGGTTGAAATGATTGAAAAATTAAGTTCTATTATAACTGAATAAGATGATTATTTTTATTTTTATATGGATTCCTAAGTATGTTGAGATTTTATTTGTAATATTAATTTTTTTCTTAGGGTGTTCCACATGTGTTTAAATCTAAGTGGATAGAACTATAGAAGAAAAGCAGATTATGATGTCGACTTACATTGTTTGTTTATAGTGCTTATTGAGTTCAATCTCTCTTACATGCCCTGAGCCATCCTCTGCTATGACAATTTTTCCTCCATTCTTCCCACCCTCCATTCCTCCCTTCCCCAAACACATATCATATGCCCACTATGTACCAGCACCTGTGTTATGTGTTTGGGATATGGTAGCCAATAGAAGGGAAAAGGCCCTAGCCCTTGCTAAGCTTGTATTCCAGTAGGGGAGACTGGTGGTGGTCTAGTGGTTAAGATTTGGTGCTCTCACTGGGTTGGATTCCTGGTCAGGGAACCACACCGTCCCTCTGGTGGTTGTCATACTGTGGCGGCTGCATGTCACTGTGATGCTGAAAGCTATGCTACTGGTATTTCAAATACCACCAGGGTCACTCATGGTGGACAGATTTCAGCAGAGCTTCTAGACTAAGGCAGACTAGGAAGAAGGACCTAGCCATCCCCTTCCGAAAAAATTGGTCATGAAAACCCTGTGAATAACCGCGGAGCGCTGTCTGATACAGTGCTAGAAGGGGAGAGAATGGCGCAGGGTTCCGCTCTGCTCTACGCAGGCTCCCTAGGAGTCAGAATTGACTGGATGGCACTAACAACAAAGGGGAGACTGGAAATTAGTAAGTAAATGTATAAATAACATAATTTTGACAGTGCTGAGTCCCGTCAAAAAAAAACAAAACAAGATAATATGGAGGGTTCATAGAGCACAGGGGAGGGCAGATGGGGGATATCGGATGGAAAAAAGTGTAGCCTTATTTTGGGTGGTCTGGAAAGATTTCCTGGAGAAGGTGAAGATGAGATGTAAATGACAGAGAGAAGCGAGTCATGCTCAGAGGAGGGAGATGAGCGCCTCAGACTGAGGGCCCAGCCCTGCTCTGGCCCTGAAGCTGAAGAGCTTGGTCTGCCCACAGCCAGCAGGGGCCTGCTGGGCCAGAACTCAGCCCGGGGAAGAGTGCTGGGGCAGGCAGGTAGGGCTCCAGCGTAAGGCTTTGCAGGTGGGAAGGAGGAATTCAAGTTTTGTTCCAAGTGTTTTAGAAATCCCTGGAGTGTGTTAAGCAGTGAATGAGATAACCCAAGTTATCTCTGGTTAACCTGGAAACCAGTTAGGAGAATGTTACAAATAGTGCAGGACTACTTCTGGACGTTTGACTTTAGCCGCTGGATGGTTGGTGGGGCCATTTACTTAGAGATGGGTGGGGACAGCTTTAGGGGAAATTCAGAAGTTCCCTTGGGGACCTGAAAAGTCTTAGAGACCCACAGGGCTTCCACGTGGAGATGTCAAAATGTCTAGTTAGGACAATTCTTTTCCTATGATAAACATTTGCTTAACTTTAATGGTGAAAATGCTGAAGAAGAAAGTAAAACCTTTACGTGGTTAACTGTTGAGGTTCTGTAGGAGACAACATAGGGCCCACTCTCTACTCCAGAAGCTTTACAGAATCTTAGTGGAACTTACGTTAATGGGAAAAAAAGCCTTTTCTTTTCCTTCTGCCTACAATAATGAAAGTAGAAATTTGTTAGGGAGTCAGTGACCACTCATTTCTCTTAAATATTGCTTATTTTATGAACTATAAGGAAGTAGCACTATTTCAAGTTACTCTATATCTATGGACTATTTTAAAGGAGATTAAACCAGGAAGATTTCTTATTTTTCTGTATATCTCAAATAGGATCTTAAATAGGTTATGTTGAATCAAGACTAATTAGCCATTCTAGTAAGATGGCTATACAACTTATTGATAGTGTTATTAATCATACTATAAAAACAGTAACTGTCAAAGTACAGAACAGAACACATAATCTTAACTATAAAAAAGACTGTAGTTAGTGTATCTCACCTATTTTTATTTTTCTTTCTTTGCAGATCATGTATTTCAGTTCTCTGTTTCCATATGTCGTACTTCTCTGCTTCCTCATCAGAGCGCTCCTGTTAAACGGCTCAACTGATGGCATCCGCCACATGTTCACCCCTAAGGTGTGTACTGTACTTCTGGTTAAGGTTTATTACCATGAAAGCATTCCGTTTATTGTTAAAATATTCCCATAGTTAGATTTAAGGGATAATTATTCTAACACATGTACATTAGACTTTTAAATTACAGCTGTTATGTTAACCAGCCTAGGAAAACTAGAGCCTTTGTATATCTATAATTATATCCATCCAGCTCCAATTTAAATTCCATTTTAGTTCTAGAGTAAGACTGTCACTATTTAAGCTTCACAAATTCCTCTTTTATAGTCAATTAATTTCTAATTTTTACACGGATAAATTCTAGAACTTTTCAATCTCTATTTACTCTTCTTCCTCCTCTATTTCAGGAGTTATTAACATTTTTGTATCATGGACCCCTTTGATAAAACCAATAGTAGGATCTTCTTACCAGAAAAAATAATCAACATATTAATTTGCTTCGTGTTTCAGGAGGTTGACAGATCACTTAAAATCCATGGACTCAGGTTAAGAACCCTGCTATGCTCTAGATCCTGTCTCAGAAGAAATCAATGCTTTCTTGTTTTTTGTTTGTTTGTTTGGAGATTTTGTACCTTCTGGGAGAATATTTATAGTTCTGAGTTTGGGAAGTTCTGTAACTTTTGTAGATGCATATACATTTTAGGAAAATTCTTCATAGGCACATAAAAGCTCAGACCTTATGCTCTGCCATTCAGCTTAGAGCTGAACTCAACACTGGACCCATTGAATCCGATTCATCATTACTCGTGGACTTGTTATATTGATTTTACAGGAAATGAAAACAAGTTTTGAGCTATATATATATTTTGGTCACCAAAATGAAGTTGCACCTCACTATTAGTTTGCTAACACTATCATAGGCAGACACTGAGTTATAAAGATGCAATTTCAAAATTAGTTCAGAAATGAGAAGTTATCTGAATGTGCAGCCAGGTCGTGTTGAGATTTGGGCAGAAGATATTAGCTTTCCTGGAATTCTTCGTCACACCGGCAGCTGCCTTGATCCTGTGTAAAAGAGGCTGTGTTCTTTAGGTGTCTGGTTCCAACATGGTGTTCGTTCTTTAGCAGCAAAATGCTGACATTGGTATCTGGTTTTCTTGAATAGTTCAAAAGTCCAACATTTAGAGTTGTTGGAACTCCTCAGTGGATAACTAGTTGAGGTTTATAAATTTCAGCTATATTGTAATTTAAATCAGCTTCAAATGGGCCATACTTAATGACCCAAAATATTTATATTTGTAATATTGAAAGAAAAGTTTTCTGAGTTTATTTATTTATTTATTTATTTATTTTTTTGAGGAAGATTAGCCCTGAGCTAACTGCTGCCAATCCTCCTCTGTTTTTTTGCTGAGGAAGACTAGCCCTGAGCTAACATCCATGCCCATCTTCCTCTGCTTTATATGTGGGACGTGTACCACAGCATGGTGTGCCAAACGGTGCCATGTCCGCACCCGGGATCCAAACCGGCAAACCCCAGGCCAATCAAAGCGGAATGTGCGAACTTAACCGCTGTGCCAGCGGGCCGGCCCCAAGTTTTCTGAGTTTAAAACAACTTGCTTTGATGTGAATTTCTGGAATGTTACCTGTTTCTAAGTTAGCAATTGCTTGTGACATAATTCTAAATATTTGGTTTAAATAGATGTTTTAGAATTTACATACTTTGATATGACACTTTTACATGGCCCCGTATTTAAAACTGCATCGTTATTAATGTTTTAAACCTCTACTAGGTGACGAGGATTTTAGGCTGGTTAATTTTAAACCTGAAGATGAGAAGCAGGCTCCGAGGAGTGGAATTTGCTTGCCCTTTGTTGGGAAACATTTACATTTGTAAGGGAAACCTCTATCTGTAAAGATGCCTCCTCTCTGTGCCAGGAAGAAGGGGGATGGCCTTATCTCTAGAAACTCTTAATCAATGCCAAAGGCAAGAACTCAAGTTGTTTACTGTCTGGCAACCTCATGTAACTGACACCCCCCCCCCCAAATCCTCCTTTGTCATTAGCTGAAGATAATATTTAAGCGGTGATTTCTGCCATTTACTCAATCCGGTTTGATTCTTATCTAAAAGTTGTGGGACCGCCCAATGGCCGGACCCTACTGGCACTGATACCATTTTAACTTTTTTACATATTCTTTCCTTTGTCTTGTAAAGAGATAACTCACATACCTATGCCTTAAATTTAGCCTTACTCTCCACCCATGTTTGCAGCAGAGGCGGCAGCAGCAGCAGCTCCCCATGCCAGCAGCAGCTCTGACTGCCCATGGGTCCTGTCCCCATGTCAGCAGCAGCATGCAGGCACCAGCTCTGCCTACCCATGGGTCCTGTCCCCATGCTATTCCACACTATTCTCTAAATAAAAGAGCACTACTGCCAGATCTTGAGAGTCCAAGAAATCTTTCTTTCGACTCCTCAGCTCACTGACCCCACATCACTAGGGATCACTATTAGTATAGTTCAGCTCGCTTTTTTTTTTGACTGTTGATAAGATTTTGTGTCACTGTAGGATGTGAGAGTTAATACAGTAATGATAAGAAGTTGTCAATTGCTTTTTAGTTTACATTGTTTATGTAAGACAGAGGAAGTACCTAAGCACTTGAAATATTCCCCAAACAGTAAATGGAGATTTTGTTCCTGAATTGGGCGTTACCTGACGAATGTCTTTGGTAAATAGGTGTTGCCTGCCATCTAGTGGGTACAGTAGAGAAAGACAGCTGAGTGTTTTGTAGTAGATCAGTATTAACCACAGAATGGTAATGTAGCAATGGTCAATAAACAGTATGCATATCTTAGTTATTTGTAAGTTATAAATATAATCATGATTATGTTCCATGAGAATATTTAATATATTTTAATAATAATCACTAAAATTCGTTGAACAAGAAAGCCTAATATTTGAGAGAGGATGCATTTTGGAATTAACTTGTGTTCATATTTCAGCTCCACCCCAGAACTTCTGTAACCTCAGTCAGGTTACTTAACCTTTCTAAAATTCAGATAACAGTAGCAACAATTTCACAGATTGTAGTGAAGATTAAATTAGATAATCCATATAAAATGCTTATCAGTGTGCCTACAACTTTGATCCATACATGTTAGCAATTCCCGAGCACTTGGAGCGTGGTAGGCGACGTGGTAAGTGGTCCATGTCTTGTCACTCCCATCTTGCAAGTGGGGCCGCTTATCCCAGGCTGCACTGCTTTTAGGTTATTAAATGGCAGAACCAGGATCTGAAACTTGCTGTGGAACTCATTCCTTACTGTATTTGACATAGCTCCCAATAAAGGCAATTTCATTGTAATAGTAAAAAAGAGATAAAATACCAATTTAAACACTCCTGTTACTGAAATCAAACTTGACTGTTTATTGAGGTCTGTGTCAGATATGGCTAATATTAATTGTCCCATTTAAAAGATTTGGTTGTATACAATACAGTGCTAATTGTCTAAGAAGTAAAGTAGAGCTACTTGAAACACGTGTTCAGCACAGATTCAGAACTTTAGAACTTTGGATCTGAAAGGGTCTTAGAAATGACATGGTTGAATTTCTTCAATTTTCAAAGAAAAGGCTTTCAGGAAACTATAGAATGAATGAATGATATATACATGAATATGCAAAGTACAAATAGTTCAACTCTACCAAGCTTATAATTATTATCTACTTTGACTATTATTATTTTTTTTTTCTTAAGATTGGCACCTGGGCTAACAACTGTTGCCAATCTTTATTTATTTTTTTTTCTGCTTTATCTCCCCAAACCCCGCCTGTACACAGTTGTATATCTTAGTTGCAGGTCCTTCTAGTTGTGGGATGTGGGACGCCACCTCAACGTGCCCCGAGGAGCGGCGCCATGTCCGTGCCCAGGATCCGAACCCTGGGCCGCCGCTGCGGAACACGTGAACTTAACCACTCGGCCACGGAGCCGGCCCCTACTTTGACTATTAGATTTCGCCAGAAAACACAAAACTTAAGATATTTGTTAAGCAGCTATTTAACTTTTATTGATAATTGATTTATTTTGCTTTGGAAAGAAAAAGACATGGGAAATAATTGAAGATAGTTAATTTCTCTTTCAAATAATCCTTTGACGATTTGTCTTAAAGATATTTAAAATTCCCATAGAAGTAGAAAATCTCCATGTAAGTAAAACTCCATCTAAAGTCTTGATAGTCTATAGTATTTCTTAGTCATATTCCTTGTTTCATTCCTAAATGAAAAGTTTGTTATTTCTCCTTAAGAACAAATTGTCCCCCTGATTTAAATAAGCTTTGTGTACATAGATATCATTATGATATATTTAAACAATAGAACTAATTGCATGTAGATTATTCTGAACTATTATTTTGCAATCGACTTCTATTATGTTTAATTTTCAACAGCTGGAAATGATGCTGGAGCCGAAGGTCTGGAGAGAAGCGGCTACCCAGGTGTTCTTCGCCTTAGGGCTGGGATTTGGTGGCGTCATTGCCTTTTCAAGCTACAACAAGAGAGACAACAACTGCCACTTTGATGCTGTCCTGGTGTCCTTCATCAATTTTTTTACTTCTGTCCTGGCAACATTGGTGGTGTTTGCAGTTCTGGGCTTCAAAGCCAGTGTCATAAATGAGAAATGCATTGCAGAGTATGGATATCAATTTCCTTTAGCTTTTGATGGCATAATTATATAGAAAAAGTACCCCCTAAATGCATGTGTTCATTAATATGTTGTTCTGTTTTTCAGAAATTCGGAAATGATCATAAAATTTCTGAAAATGGGCAACCTTAGTCACGATATTATCCCCCATCATATCAACTTTTCAGCTGTTACTGCAGAAGATTATCATTTAGTTTATGACATCGTTCAAAAAGTGAAAGAAGGGGAGTTTCCCGCTCTTCATCTCAATTCCTGTCAAATTGAAGATGAGCTAAATAAAGTTAGTAGGCTGTGTTTAAGCAATAAAATAATCATCATTCACTTAAAATACGCGTTGTCCAGAAGATTCCTTTTAGGAAAATAACCTTTGAAATGCCTGTATAAGATTATGCTCGTTCAAAATTCATATTCTTTATTTCCAAGAACATACTTTCTTAAATCATAAAGGTTTGCTTTTACTTTAAAAAACAATTTTATTGATTAAATCACAATGATTAAAAATATGAATATAAATTTTAAGTGATTTTCATCAGAGAAAATGAAATTAGTCTGATACCTTTCCTGGTATAATATTCACTACAAAAATTGAATTATGACTATGATTTCCATATTGCATGAATCTTTTGATGCATGGATGATATTTGGCCATTTTAATAACTGTATTCAAGAAGTCATGATTAAGTCCTTTTTCTTAGCCACTGTCATATATTTTAATAAACATGAAATAGGTGAACATTGATAAATATTCTTGTTTTGGTTGTCACCCTCTCCCTGTGTTGCCAAAAAGGAAAATATAATGGAGAAATTAGCCATTAATCACTTACTTTAAGAGAGCTAACTACGCTTGAGACTAACCATAAAGAATCATGTGCAGGAAATAATGGATGAAGTCATCATTAATATATAAATCTTGAATTCTATAAGGAAAGATTTAATGACTAACTAACCCTTAAAAGTTGTGTTTGTGTTTTTTTTTTAATTCTAGTCTACCTGTTGTCTTTTGAGATAACAGTATCAACTTGAAGTTTGTTTAGAGGCACAGTTTCTTAGGAGACAGCATGGTACCAGCATGTTTATTTCCAGTAGTTTATTTCCATGTTTATTACTCAGAGTTTCCCCTCCCCTTTGTAACTGATGTATATTCTCATCTCTTAATATTGCTCTGTACTGATGTTGCTATTTTGTGTATTTTTTAGGCTGTCCAGGGGACTGGTCTGGCTTTTATTGCCTTTACAGAAGCGATGACACATTTCCCTGCATCTCCCTTCTGGTCAGTGATGTTCTTCCTCATGCTGGTCAATCTCGGACTTGGCAGCATGTTTGGAACCATTGAAGGGATCATCACGCCTATTGTGGATACTTTCAAAGTGAGGAAAGAGATTCTAACTGGTGAGTTTTTATGTATTTCACTTTTCATAGAACTGATAGTCTATTTTACTCTTGGTGGGAGATCAGAGATGGAAATAAGAAAGTTTTATTAATGTCACTTTATTAATAATAGTTGTATTATTTATTTTATTTATATAATATGCAGAGGGTAGATTTAATATAGATTATATTAGTTAATGATTATTTCTCTTTATTAATAATAATGTCATTATCATGAATTACTGGCACTAGAATAAAGTCATAGAATGTTCATATATAATTTTGTATACAAGTCAAATAATTATTAAAAAAGGAGCTCAGGGGGCTGGCCCCATGGCCGAGTGGTTACGTTTGCGCGCTCCACTGCAGGCGGCCCAGTGTTTCGTTGGTTCGAACCCTCGGTGCGGACATGGCACTGCTCATCAAACCACGCTGAGGCAGCGTCCCACATGCCACAACTAGAAGGACCCACAATGAAGAATATACAGCTATGTACCAGGGGGCTTTGGGGAGAAAAAGGAAAAAAAATAAAATCTTTAAAAAAAAAAAAAAGAACTCTGACATTGACAATTGGTTAAAAAAATAATTCTTAAAAGAACGAAAGTTTAAAAAAGGAGCTCAGATCTACTACTCCTTTTCCAAAAAGTGCATAGCTGAAATTGATAAGCCTAAATCCAGTTCTCCTATAAAACAGCAATTGTAGCCTACTAGTAGTTAATATCTAAGTAGGAAAGAAATAAAACAATTATTAGTATTCATGGTTGTTGATAAGCCCAATCTGCAAGCAGTTATTACAGCACCAGTTTTGCAGTATCTCATCCTTGCATTGAGCTATGTAAAGGATATCAGAGAAATTAGAAGAGAGACACAGAGATATAGGAGAGCCTCTTCTGCAAAAATAATAGTACTGATAATTAAAATCAAATTAGGTAGATAAGATCTGTACCACGTAATATACTGATAGATAGCATAATAGAGACTTTTCGTGTTATAAGAGTTAAGAAGCAACAAAAGTCATCTAAATGTATGACAGAACTGTCAGCAAAAGAGCTGGAAGTTGAATTGGAAAGGGAAAGGGTCTTCTCAGGGGTCAGAGGGTAGTCTTACTAAACATATTAAATAGAGATAAAGGGAGCCATAAGGAAGCCGGCCAGACCAGAGTGTGGGAACAGTGTTGGTAAGTGATGTAAAAACAAATTGGAAAAAAATATCTTGAATGCTGGGCACTAGTGCTCAAGCTCCCCAAGGCTCTGAAAGATCTAGTGATCATTTATGTGTAAATAACTCAAATATATACCTTTATCACGTACTGCTCTAAGTGTGTGTGTGTGTGTGTAAAACAATTTCAGCAGTTGTCAAATATTTCTATCTAGATATCCTGAACTCAGCTGCATATAGACGAGAAACTTCTTTACCTTCTCACAAAAGGCAGTCTGCTTCTTAAGTTTCTGTTTGATTTAAGGTTATCAATATCCTGCCTGACATGCAGGCTACGTAACAGTCATCTTTGCTGCTTTCCTTATCTTTGCCCCATATCCAAACCCTCCTGTGGTTAGAGGGCTTATAGAATTAAGGGAAAAGCAGCAGCATAGAGGGAAAAACACACAGGTAGTATCTGCCGACTCCCACTGGCTGGCCTATTTGGTCAGAGCAAAGGGGAATGCCCGCTCTTCCCCCAATACCTGTCTTCTGGGATCATACCTATACTTCAGTCATATTTTACCTTGATGAAATGTTCCGCCATCACCTTTGTCAGATGTGATTTTGTCTTCTCTAACAATAGGACTTAGCTAAGTGAATCACTCACTATCTTTTCCTCTCACATCTCCCTCAAAACCTACCGTCTGTAGCGCCTAGAATACACTTCATGTTTAGCTTATACTATGGTGTAATTAGGAGAGAGTGAAAGTGACACAGGCCGTGCTTCAGATCCAAGCTCTGCTGCTTCCATCCTGAGACTGAGTACAATGTGCTGTGACAAGCATTTAAACATTTCAGTATGTGATGGACTCCAAGTGAATGTTACTTTTCCTTTTCTACATTATGTGTTTATATATAATATTTCTGTACGATGTAACTCATACCACTAGCACAGTGCTTAGGAGATGGCGGTAGTGGCTTAATTTAACCCACACTTATTGACCTTGTTAGGGACCTGAACTGACTGAACCCAGGGATGTCTGTTTTCTCCCCTCCTGAACTGCTGTTACCTGTTCTGCGTCTTTCACTTTTTCTCACCTCTGCGAAAGGTGGTTGAGAAATAGAGCACAGGCTTCTTTTATTGTTGAAGGCTTCTCTACTGACGTGCATGAGAGACTAAATAGTCTGGCAAAAAATATGAGAATATTATATGGATTCCAGGAATCTCTCTAAGTTTTTATATTAATGGTAGCTGGTCAAAACCTTCTACATCTTTCTTAGATACTACTGTGGAAACTCCTTTTAGATGACTCTTTTTAGTTACTTGGGTAATCAGATTGCCCAACCCTGTCATAATTGTATTCCCAATGAATCTGTTCTGGCAATATCAAGATCGAGACTTGGGTTGGTGCTAAGGCAAGGTCTGATGAGATTTTTTCAGTTATGCTTTAAAAATAACCATATTTCAATCAAATATAATAATATACGTTATCACAACCTTATTATAAGCTACATTGGTCTCATTATAAGTTTAAAAATTCAATGTAGCTTCCAAAACTGTAAAGCATTATCAGCAGTAGAAATAACCTGTGAACATTTGCTGCCTGAAAAGGTCACTTTGCTGTTAGTAAAAAGAGCAGAAGGGTATGGAGATTTATACTTTTAAAAATCTTCTCAGTTTTTTCTCATTTATTGTTTGTGCTTGGAAAGGTAGTGCCTATTTATGTCATTGACAGATTATAAAAGTGAAAACAAAATTATTGTTTGAGTATAATAATTCATAATGAAGTCTAAAAGACTTGGTTCTGAATAAAGGCCTAATTTTTAATTTATTCCTTTTGTGCAGTGATCTGTTGTCTTCTGGCATTTTGTATTGGCCTGATATTTGTGCAACACTCTGGAAATTACTTTGTTACAATGTTTGATGATTATTCTGCAACGCTGCCACTGCTAATTGTAGTCATTTTGGAGAATATTGCTGTATCCTTTGTTTATGGCATAGATAAGTAAGTAAATTTGCTTTTATGCCTTCATTTTTCATCTCTATTTTGGAATGACCAACTGTCAATATCTGTTTCACTTAGAAGAGGAGGGAAATGTCTAAAGGGAAAAATTCTTTGCCACAAAATCAAATCTTTTGTAGGCTCATCTGCGTTCCACAATTTTATTAAAGTATATTCCCCTATTAGGTGATTGGTTAGGTTGTGTAGATGGTAAGACACTCTAAGATTCTGGACCTTTGATTTAATTCTGGTTATCAAATAGTAACTGGTAAGATCTACTGAGCATTGACTATGTTCCAAGAACCTTGTTGTTTGGAGTTCTTGTTATTTACATTTCACAGATGAGAAAACTCAGGCCAAGTGAGACACCAAGGGACTTGCTCATCGTTCCCTGGACAGAGGCAGACCTGGGATTCATGGCCCTTTCTGCTTAACTCTAAAGCCTATGCTCCTAACTACTTTGCTAACCTGTTTTATGGGAGGAATTTTATTTTATTATGCTACATAATGCCTTCTGTAGCAGGCCAGTTTTGGGAAATGATATATCCTGCTCTGAGATATATATGGCATTTGCTGTACACAAACTTCATATTTATGTGAAGTCATTACTCGAATTCACTAGATGCCTAAGCCTCTGAATTATATACCTGCTTGATGTGAAAAGTATATATGCTTGGTGTGAAGTGAAGCATTAGAGTAATCTCAGAAGAAAAAAGTGTCTAGAGGCCTTGTCTAATATTTTTTAAGGTTGTTGTCTCTGGTTAACGTGAGATCATCAAGCTTATCAGAGGTGTGTGTAAAGTAGGAATGAGTGTGTGGAATGAAGACCAGAGTCCTCTTAAACAGCATGAAGAACATTAGTGGTATACGAGTGAGCTCTGTGTCAAAGCTTAGAAAATGTTTTTGTTACTGTCAAAAGCTCCAGACAAGGAAGGGTAGGGGAGCTTACAGTTAATAATCATGTCCTATATAGAAATAGTAGTAATAGCTGTCTGACATGCATTAAATCTTAGTCATCACAAGAATACTCTGTGTTAACTAATATGACCCACATCCCAGATGGAACAGTGGCCTTGTTTGAACAGGAGGACACAGTGTATTCGTTGTGGAGCCAGGACTTTAACTTAGACCTGAATTTCAAGACCTACCAAGTTACCCCCAACTCCTAACCTACACTGTGTTGGAATTTGATATTGTTATTGGACTGATCTGTGGATCTACAAGATCATAATTGAGATTTCCATTTAGACAGCTCATCATTTACATCAGGCATGGTAGAAAATATGTCTCTCTGGTAGTTAGTGTTCGTAAATACTAATATTTATAACGAAAGAGGGAATCGTACTATTCCTTCTATTTAGTAGATGCATGTGTTAAATTCCTACTGTACGTGAGGCAGTGTGTCCTGCATACATTGTCTGTGAGCCTACCAGTAACCCTCCAAGGTAGGTATTTTTCAAAAATGCCAAAAATGAAGGTCAGGGAGACTAAGGTATACATTAAAAGATGACAGAGCTATGATTTGAAACCAGGTATATTGGTCTCCAAAGCTCATGTTTTGTCTTAGGAGCAGGATTAGAATTCTGGCATCTAAAATGCTCTCATTTAGTTACTTTCCCCTCCTTCAAATTTCTGTAGCAACCTTACATTCTTCCAGTTCACCTTCAGCAGGTTCATGAGCTCAGTTCTGCTCTGTGTCTTCTGCCACTGTTACCTGAATTTCCAGAGACAGGGTTAAGAGAAAGAAGACAAACAAAACGTAAAATTTGGAGACAGCAAATTCAAATGCAGGAAAAAAATATGTTGGTACATAGCGATTTAGGAATTAGGAAGAAATATGAATGAAAGAAAATGAGGAGGCTCCTGTGAAGCTGAAAGTGATGCCGGCATAGTTTTTGTATTTCTCTAGATTTCTTTTTTAAAAAATAGAAAAATAACGACTATAATAGCAAAATCAATACCCATGGACGTTGGCAAAAAGATATTCCTGTGAACATTCAAATATGAGAGGGTAAGAACAAACCACTGGCAGCCACAAGACCTGTGTGGTATCACATCTGTGGGGGAGACAGCAGAGGATATGCAGCTGGGCTTCTGACAGCTTCCACATCCCCAAACCCTCCCTGAAAAGTGTGGCAGGCCAATCTGAGACAGTGACCTAAAGGGGGAGAAATTTTACAGGATCCTTGCCCTGATTTCAAGGAATACAGAGGGATAAAAATGCAATAAGATCATCAGTGCTGGAGCAATCTGATCTCTAAAAACTCTGGAAGCTAACAAGCCAGAGTTCCCTTCCAAGTTAAAATTCTGCACTGAAGAGAAAATGATGGGAGCAAAACCTGAACAGAGCAGGAGAAACACAGAGGCGATGGAAAAAGCAAGTCCAGGTAAATGTGAGGAGGAGAGCAGAGGAGGTAGAATTGAGAAATTATGGGCCCAGTCTTTCTTCACTGTGCCCACAGAGGAAGTGCCCATCCTTCCATCTTAAAATGCAGGGAAATTCATTTCACTTAAATGCGGTCAAGTCTTAAGAAAACTTATTATTTAAAAAAAGAGGAAAGGAGCAGAATAATATCCCTGCAGAAAACAAAAGCACACAAGCAAAATAGATGGAAAACTATTTCAAAATGAGTTGAAATAAATTTTTAAAAATGATAGAAGCCACAAAAGAACAGCATAAATAAGTTGTTTGAAAGTCAAGAAATATGGTAATTAGGGAAAAGGAAGATTTGAAAGCAGAGGTGGTAGAACTCAGGAAATAATTGTGAATAAAAGAGAAACACTTGAGAAATGAAGATCAAATTAAAAGGAACATAAAAACAATAAATGCAGTGGCTAATTCCACAAGACATAGAAGCTAGAAAGGAGGAATGTTTTTTAAAACCAAGGAGGAATAAAGAGGGTTTTAAGAAAAGGATTAGAAACAGGAGTTAAGCAAAGATGAGTCAACATATGTTCAGTGAGGACCTCTGAAAGCAGTGGCCAGAACAGATACTAAAAACTATAATTCATGAAACTCGCGTGAAATAAATGACAACTTGAATGTAGAAAGTGCACACAATATACTTGGAAAAACAGACATAATGGCCAACACCAGAACACAGTTTACGATGTTACTTCTAGACAAAGAAAAAACTGGGGACATCCAGACAAATCAATACAAAACAAGCAAAATTATTTATAAGAGAAAAAGTCAGCAGACTTCTTGTAACAATATTATGTTGGTTGACTTATTTACGATTCTCAAGGAAAGAAAATGTAAGACAGACTTTAAATCCAGTCAAAGTGACATCAAGTATAATGACCATAAGCGAACAATTATAAACATGCAAGAAATCAGGGAGTATAGTTACTATGATCCCTCTTGGAAGAACCTACCAGAGAACTAGCTTTAGACAACCAAAAAAGTCTACAAAACGTCAGTACAAGGACTGGTGGGTGGGCAGTAGGTATTTCTCTCTAGATTAGTACATCATGGCTGTGCTTTGAAGGTGTTAACATCGTATACCTGAAAAGGGTGAATTTTATTTCGTGTAGACCATACCTCAGGTTGCTGCACTGGTGAAGCAACTCTGTGGGGAAACAATCAGCAAAACCGTGACTGTGGGAAACTGTAGGACCGAGTATCCAGCTGACTCAACAAAAAATCGGAAGAAACAAAAAGGAGGTGTAGGAGGAACCCAGAGATGAAAAATAGACTTGAGAAGCACACCAATCAGTTGCAATGTGTGGGCCTTTCAATTCAAATGGACTACAAAAAGAAGGGAGGGTTCAGATAATATAAACACTGACTGGATATTGGATGATAGTAATCGATTATTGCTAAATAAAAAAATGAGAGAGAAGGAATTTTTAAATTATCACAAATATTGTGTTCATAGAGCAGAAAGTCATCAGTAAGAGGAGACTTTTCAGGGCTTGGCTTAAGGGGGCTTTTGCTAAATGAAAATTACAGTGCTTGACTGGCTCCAGTTTACTTATAAATGTTCCTAACTTATAAGCCCTCTTCCAATATGACTTTTTGTTTCAGTATAAAATGTCGTAGGTTATTCATAGCTCAACCCCTGTCGAACCAGTGATATCATGCACATTTTTAAGGTATAGCGACATTAACTCGGGAAATAATTAAATACTTTCTTTTTTATTCAGGTTTATAGAAGATCTAAAAGATATGCTGGGATTTGCTCCCAACAGATATTACTACTACATGTGGAAATATATTTCTCCTCTCATGCTGTTATCACTGCTAATAGCTAGTGTTGTGAATATGGGACTAAGTCCTCCTGGCTATAATGCGTGGATCGAAGACAAGGTAAAATACAAAATAAGGAAGGTGGATAAAAAATATACATAAAATGCCATTTTAGAGGTTTCCATCTTTTGCTTTTTTGGTATTGTTTTTATGCAAGGATCTTGAGATTTATGTTTTGTTTGACCCCGCACATTTGTGATTTTTTTTATACATTGTGGATTTTTTTAATACATGAGAAATACTGACTTGTTTCTTATTAAAGTAGCTTTATTCGTGTCACTATAGATGAACCAATAATTATTGGGCCTTTGACTCTAGAAATATTTTTTCCTACATAAGTTTGTTAAATCATATCCTGGATACTATGTAATAATGAAAATATGCGTTTGCCATGTAGACATAATTTAAGTAAACATTGAAGTAAAGTTTTGTTATAACTGTTTTATATTAGCAATGACTATTTCCATTTCTGTTGTCAAGTTGCATTAGCCGTATAATAATGCAGTCATGAGACGTATATTAGCTGTTATAAAATCAGAACGTTTATTTATCAGAGATACCTCTGACCTTCAGCTATTCTATGGTCAATAATTCTATATAATAACAACTAAATTCATGACTGGGGCATAAAGAAGTCTGTTAGCCCTTACCAAATCCCTTGGGGCCAGATGTGCTTCAAAATTTAGATTTTCAGATTTTAGAAAGATGACGTAGCACGTGCAGTAGGTATCTGTTGCTTAATAACAAACTACTCCCACCTTAATGACTAAAAGCAATGCTGATTTAGTATTTCTCAGAGTTCTGTGGATGGACTAGAGAATTCTTCCGTCCGTCCTGCCGGAGCTAACTCATGCACTTGACGAATGTTGGAGAGCTGGGCTCTCTCTATGTGATCTTTCATTCTTGGCTTCTTCCAAGCATTATGGACTCAAGGCAGCATTCTAAGAAACAGAAGCAGTATGTGCAAGACGTTTAAGGTCTAGCCTAGGAAATTGCTTAATGTCACTTTTATGGCATTCTGTTGGTCAAAGCGAGTCCCAGATTCTTGGCTTACACATATGAGACAAATAGAAGTTTTTCCACATGCTTGCAGAGAAAGATTGTTAATAATTATCTTTTGGCTTTAACAGGCATCTGAAGAATTTCTGAGCTATCCAACATGGGGAATGGTTGTCTGTATCTCTCTGATGGTCCTAGCCATACTCCCCGTCCCCGTTGTCTTCGTTATTCGTCGCTGCAACCTTATAGACGATAGCTCTGGCAATTTAGCATCTGTGACCTATAAGAGAGGAAGGGTCCTGAAGGAGCCCGTAAACTTGGAGGGAGATGATGCAAGCCTCATTCATGGAAAGATATCAAGCGAAATGTCATCTCCAAATTTTGGTAAAAATATTTATCGAAAACAGAGTGGATCACCAACTTTGGATACTGCTCCCAATGGACGATATGGAATAGGGTACTTGATGGCCGATATGCCGGATATGCCAGAATCTGACTTGTAGCAGGGGGAAAATCAGTGGGGTTTATTTGGTTCATTTTTATCAATGAACATTGGCTCTACTCAGAGAAGCGTTAGGCCTCACTTCTCAGAGGGCGATCTCAGGTGTTCCATGGCTGTGATCTTTAATTCTAACAGTGTATGTAAATTCAACTAGAGCATTCCTTTGGATTCTTTGGTTTACATTTGTGCAGAAAGAGTTACAGACAAAGTTCACAATGACTGAGGTCCACGTTTGTCAGAATTTTTAAAAATACTTTCGGTGTTTTTTCAAGTATTTTTATCTCTAAAAAACAGGTGTTACCTCAGTTTCTAATAATTTCTGGATGTAATAGTATTGGCAATTCACAAATGGTATACTTTAAAATTTATCAGTTTGCCTTCAGGGTAACTCCCAGTGTTAGAATGAGCATTTCTGTAAGTTGGTGCCTCTCAGCACATTTCCATGAATATACTGTGTAGATAGGCTGTACTTATTTTGGTAGCATTGATACCTTCTTAGGCAATTAGTTGAAGAAAACCGCAAAATATTTTCTTATGTAATAGCTGTATAGAGCAATAGTATCAAAGCATAAGAAGGCACTAATGCTGGGATGAAAGTTGAGAGTCAGAGGTGACTGGGGATCATGTGCGTGATGCCTGTATATTTTGTGTAAAATATATGTGTGAAAATCATATAAGAATGAGTCACTCAGCACTCTCAAGAATTATGCAGATTCTGCATTTTTCTATGCCGTGTGCCTAAAAACCTACTTGATATTTATTGTGATTTCAAGATTACCCATAGTATATTTATATAATATACTTGCAATGTATATAGATGTATATTACTTAGTACTCTAAGTACTGATTCGAAAACTTGAAGCAAGATGGCATTTTATTTCCTATCTTTCTGTTTTGCTTCTGTTTTATGCAAATATAAATCCTTTTTTAAGTGATTGTTCAAATTGTATGGCATTACATTTTAAGCTACAAATAAACAAAGTTAAAAAAAATGATGTTTATTTTCCACATTGATTTTCCTGGTATCACCTGAACTGGATTATCTTGCATTTCAGTCAGCAGTTAGTATTTCATAATAATTAATCATCATATTCCAAGTGGGATGATTATATTGATTAATAGAGTAACCACCACTTTAGAGATAAACGAAAAATAGAGTGTTATGGTTAAATGGTCTTCTAATGTAGTCTCACAATTCTTGAAAAAATACTTCGAGTCTCCCACGAAACTGTGTGTACAGTTGACTGCTTGCTGGGTCAGTCCTGTCTCTGAAGTGCAAAAAATTACAATGATTTTTATGACACTCTTGGATATATGAAATTGGATGAAGCAGAAGTACTCCACTGAGTGTCATCTAGTTAAAAGGCTTTTATTTATAACTGTTCTACCACTATATCAGTTATATTTTAAAAATAGCAATGTATAATGCAGCAAAGTGGGGGAGGTGGTATGCACACCATATCCATTGGTTTATTTTGGCCGAATACTCTTGGTCTACCGTAGACATATGTTAATAGACTGCATCACAGCATTTAAAATGCAATTCCATTGGTGACTAAAACTTTTAGTTTTTTTATATTATATATACTGATATATTTTGAATCACTTTAAAATTTAAAAATATCGTATGTATAGGCGATATATTCACATTATGCAGAACTCAAAAATTATAACAATTCAGTGTAAAGTAAATTTCCCTTCCAACGTTTCTCCTGGCCACCCATTCCCCACCCTTGAAGGCACTGCCGGTTTCTGACGTCTACTTCTGGAGAGGCTCTATGTATACACATTACACAAATGACAGCATTAAGTATTCTCTTTCCTGAATCTTACTTATTTTAATGAATTTATTTTGGATACTGTTTCATATTGAAGACTCAAAAATCTGCCTCCTTATTTCGGTAGGTGAGGTAATATAAATTTTGCTTTTTTATGTGTTGAAGCAATATTTTTTTCGTAAGCTGCCACAATATTAAAAAGTTTGTGGTGGGGCTGACCCGGTGGTGTAGCAGTTAAGTTTGCATGCTCTGCTTTGGTGGCCCAGGGTTCACCGGTTCGGATCCTGGGTGTGGACCTACATACCGCTTATCAAACCATGCTGTGGCAGGCTTCTCACATATAAAATAGAGGAAGATGGGCACAGATGTTAGCTCAGCGCTTATTTTCCTCAAAAAGAAAAAAAAAATTTGTGGCAAATACTTACTTGAGCTGCCAGCCTTCAGCTTGTCACAATATTACATTGCAAATAACACTATCCACTATAGCACTAACAGAGTGTTCAGAGTAGAGTAAAAGGAGAAAGGAAAAAGGTATTCACTAGTAGGTTTTAGAATGATGATGAGGAGTCATATCTTGGTGCAACGACATCTTAGGATGTAATTTTATGAAAGTATATTTGCATTTCCACGTGTTTGCGTGTATGTGCATTTTTTTAGAAAAGTTACTTTTTCCACTGAATCTTCAAATGGGTTTGTGATCCCAGAAAGTTTAAGATCAAGACGTAGTGCTTCTTAACTGTAATTATGCTTCTGAGTCCCTTGTGACCTTTTAAAGACGTATTTCTGACCTACTGAATCTGAATCCTTTTGGCATTCGATGCAGGACACGAGTATTTTTTTTTAAAACTTATTCTAATGTGTATTCTTGGTTAGGAACCATGGGTATGAAGACGATGAAAAGAAGGACAAGCGAAATATGAATCCTAATTGTCTTCAAACAGAATGAAAATGAAGGTGCTGTAACTGTGAAACTGGGGACAAAAATAATTTGGGTGGATAGAAGTTGGAATTCACATTTTAAAAAATCCTTTAAAAAGTAAAATGTCTTTCTCCTGTTGATTTTATTCTGGTCACTGTGTTTCCTGAACACTCCTCAAAGATATTCATACCTATGTCGATTGAATATGAATAAACTCAATGCCAAATATAGCAATTACGTGGATTTTTTCATAAATTTTTTGAGCCATAAAGTTTTGACAAAAAGGGCAAAACCATAAAACTCCAGAAAACTATTGGAAATATTAAAGATAACACTTTCCAAAAGCTGTCCATTACTGAGTATAGGATGTTTTTACCTTCAGGACTTAGGACTGAAGTAAAAGGTTTCCTATGTGATTTTGCCTCAAATGACTGACTCCAAAATTAGTTGATCCTCTGGTTATTCTGACATACATTTCCATCTAAAACATTGAGTTAAGAATGCCTGTCACGTGGAGGTAAAAAGAGAAGAGACTGGGACATTATCTTGTCCTAAATCCAATGTCTTTTGGATTCTACTGTTGGTTTAATGCACCATCGTCATTATTAGCACCACTGTTAAAACACACACACATGCACACCACCACCAGCAGCAGCAACAACAAAAACAAAAACGCTTGATTTATACGAGTGGCAGGAAACATGCCCTGTGATGCCCTGCAATGCCATATGTGGTGCCATGTAAAGAAAAGGAGCCCTGCCTCGTAGATTCACAGTGATACCCCAGCTGTGATTCTTTCCTTCGATCACCGTTTCAGGGTATATTTAGTTTCATAGTAAGGAAGATAAAGGTTCTTTAGAAAATATTGACATTTACATTTCTGAGAATACAATTTTCTTAGGAAAAAGCCAGTAAAAGAGTTGCAAATATCGGTCGTTTCACTGTTCTTTAAAGGAATGCTTATAAAAAGCATACAAGCAGAACATGATACCCCAGTGTACACCAATCTGAAAAGATTGAGTAAACCTTAAAATTTTCAAACATGGTACCAATGTGGCATTCATTTGATCTACTCATCACTAGCATTTACCCACGTTGATAAGGTCAGCCTGGCCCATATTGATTCACCCGAGAACACGCTCTCTTTTGTCAGGAATATACTTTTCTTCCCTTCTGTGTAAAGCTTTACTTTAATTTGAGTAAATATTAAAAGGATCAATATAAGAACATTTGAGGTCAGTTAAACCAATATCTGGTAGAATTGAACAAAGAAGATATCTTCTCTGAACAAGAGGGGGTCAGGATGGTACAATCTCTGCTAAACAAATCAAATAGAGGTTTATTCACTCTATACTTTCTTAATACACTTTTGAGTAGAATCATTCCAATTCAGCCTTTTTGTAAACAATTCTATGACATTTCATCATCTCAACCCTTTTTTCTGAGTTACTGTATGAAGTAATGCAGTGCTGACGTCGATAACCAACCAACCAGCCATTCTAAATCGGAATGTCTACACCCCGTTTCTTAAGCCAAGTGAGGTCACTGATAAACTGGTTCGCAGACTTAGATTCAGTAGAATAAATCTAATTATTTAGATAATATACACTTCCTGATCATGGGGTGGAATTTATTATCTATTTTTTATTTTTCAACTCATAGTCATAACTCATGTCCATTCAACATAGAATTTTCTCATCCAAAACTCACTTTTTTTCCAGCCTCTTCATAAAATATTTATATTCAAACAAATCCCAATCCAAACAAGTAGATTAAGCTACCTTCATGTTGAATTTTACAGTTGAATTACGATAGCAAAAACAACATACATTTTTTTCTCATGATTTTGTGGTTAATTTACGTCTCTGTGTTCTTTTAGAAAATACAGTAGTCCCTATCCTACACTTGAAGTTTTCAAGTTTTTGAAATTTTTTACATTTCCAACTTTTTCAAACAAGGCTTTTAAAACTGCTTTTCTATTTTCAGAACTTCTAGAATGGGAGTGATGAATAGAAGCATCACTTTTTTCGGTGTTCTCATCACAAAAATAAACTATAGTGCGTACAGTGATGACAAGCAGTAGTTCAGAGATTTACCCTGATTTGGCCATGATTAAATAAAAAAGCACCTGAAATTTCACAAGTATTTTGTTTCATAGGAATTCAATAGTTGTATATGATTAAGGCATAAGTAGTTCTTTATTATGATCAAATAATTTCAGGTAATGTCAAGGCCATAAAGGAAGTTTTTGGAAGAGGGATAAGATATTTTTGGCATTAATCCTATTTCTGAATGAAAATATTGATGATAATTATTTGACAATAGTCTGAATAAAATTCTAAATCTCTGTCTTTACATCATTGTTCTAGTCTTCAGAGAGGAAAGTAATTTATGTATGAATGGGTCTTTGTCTTTTAATAGAAAAAGAAGTATTGCCTGTGTAATATCATTAAAGAAAGACAGAACAGTCGGTCCTGGTCTGTTCAGAGAAAATAGGGAGGTGTTTCCAGAACTTTCCAGTGTGCATTGATAGAAGAACAGACTGTGGACCTGCTTCTCTTTCTCTTGCTGGGATAGCCACTGATCAGCCAAGCACGGCCGCCTTGTCTGTTCTTATTGATTAACTCTGGGCTGAGTTGGAGCCTATACTGCCCAGGTTTCAGATCTGTTCCGCTGGTTTCACACAAAGTTAGTACTAGGAGCTGTCACCTTAGAAAGTACCCTTAAGAGCAGTCCCATCTGAAAAAGCACAAGGGAACAGATTGAGAGAGGGTATTGCTTAGCATAATTTATGGAAAGTCTAGAAAAGTAGCCCCCACTCATTATTCATGTTTTAAGAAGCACAGTTTGTTTTAGGTAATATGGATTTGAAAATCTAGAGACTCTGCTACTGAAAATTATAGCTCAAACCTTTGAAACAGTGCAATGTAATCATTTCAGTTAAGAGCTCTAATATTGAGGCCTGGGCAGCGAGGTACAGAGAGTTTAGCTATTGCATCCCTAATCTTTGTTAACACCGTCTAAACCAGATGTTTATAGGTTTTACCTGGGCAGCCCCAGCCCTAAGCTTAAAGTCAACCAGGTTTCCCTCAGTTCCTTCCTCTCTCTGCTGTTTCAGGGCACTCTTCCACCTTCTTCTCCTTAGTTCATATCCATTAGTCAAGGCATAAATGACTAGTAAAAGTTTTAGGTTTTAGCTCCACTCCCAGGGGCATCTACCGTTTGATAGAGAGTACAGTCGTAAATCAGCTCCACCTTTAATCCCAGAGCCCTGGGGGGAGGAAGAGGCCATGGAGAGGGCATCCACTCTACTCCCCCGCCTTTTATTCAACTACAGCAGCTTCACTTTTTTTTGTTTTTAGGTGGGTAACATTTCATTAAAAAAATAAATCCCAAGTTTGCAAGAGGCTATGTGCAAATGTTCTTTTTAATAAAAGGTATACATAAAATAAGAACATTTTGCTTGTAGAGTCAGATTTATATTTTTCTTAATACAAACTCTACCACTTGCTATTATATAACTCTGGACAATTTGTCAAGCCAATCTGAGCCTCAGTTGCCTTATTTGTAAAATGGGATTAATAATAGTATCTACCACGTATAGATATTATGAGCTATAATAATACTTACATTGTTATTAATTAAATAAGTAAGGAAGATAATAACATAAAGTGCTCAGCACAGTTCCTGGCCCATATTAACTGGTAATTATATTCAGCCTTCCTCCAAAAACCTCAAGATGATCCTTCACAAGCTTGAGGCTTTCCAGAATCCTTGAAAATCCAAACCACATTGAAGTATTTCCCTTTTTTTCCTATATGTAAGGCTGACCTTGAGATACCGAGATGAATTAAGCCTCTTGATTTAGAAATGGCCAAGGCATTATATACTTCTCTTCTGTTCCATTTAAAATACATTTCCTAAACCTATGCCACGTGTAAATTACAGCCACATTAGAAAAGCCAAATATGGTATAAGATGCAACCAGTGAATGCAGGGCTGAAGATAGAAGATGTAGCCCAAAAGTCAAGAGTTAGAGTCCCAGGGAAGAAATGAAACTAAGAAGCAAAAGAAAGAATGAGGTCTGAGGGACCAGAACTTTGACTGTGAAAAGGGATACCAAAATCGCCTTCATACGAGGGTAGCAATAGTTTGTTGTATTGGCTTAAAGGAACTAAATAGTGAAGACTCTCCATGCCCTCGATAAGTATAAGATAGCCAAGATGACAGGTACATATATGCAAAGCAAGGTGGATGGTATATGGTGACAAACTCAGATCCTTCAAGTTAAACAAATTTGAGAATCTAGAGAGCATGAGGGAATGTTGGGAAC